GTCTGTTGTTGAAGTTACTGTGTCGCTCCATCTCTGAAGATCCTCATCTTTGTCAATGACTTCACCCAGCACGATGCCTGTTCCAGGGACTGGTCCCTCCTGATGACACATCCAAAGATGGGCGACAGACCCACCATCCTCGCTTCTAAGGAGCATTCTGGCTGTTCTTCTTCCGGCATAGATGTGTTTGTTTTTCTGGTAGTCCATGACACTTTAAGTATTCTTTGCCAACACCATAATTCAAGCGCATCTGTTCTTCTCCAGTCTCCTTTATTCATTTTGTTCATTTATTAATGTCCAGCTTTGACATGCATATGAGGCAATTGAAAATAATCTCGGGTCAAACACACTTTAATCCTCAAAGTGATATCTTTTCTCTTTAATATGTTAAACAGGTCTTTTAAAGCAGACTTGCTCAATGCAGTATTTCCTTTGATTTCTTGCCTGCTGCTTCCAGGGTGTTGCTTGTGGATCTAAGTAAAATGAAATCCTTGATAACTTCAATCTTTTCTCCATTTTTATCATGATGTTGTTTATTGCTTCAGTTGGGAAATTTCTTTACCTTGAGACTAGTAATCCATACAGAAGACTGTATTGTTTCATCTTTATCAGTAAGTGGTTCAGATCCTCTTTGTCTTCAGCAAGCAAGATTGTGTCACTGTACGTCAAAGATTGTTAATGAGGCTTCCTCCGACCCTGATGCCAAGTTATTTTTCATATAGTCAGATTTCTTGGAACATTTGCTCAGCATAAAGGTTGATTAAATATGGTAAAGGATATAACCTTGATACACACTTTTCCTGATTTTCAATAACTCCCTGTTTTATTTGAACAACTACTTCTTGGTCTCTATACAGGTTCCCCATGAGCACAGTGAAGTTTTCTGGAATTCCTATTCCTCTCAATGTTATCCATAGTTTATCATGATCCAACACATTCCAAAGAATTTGCATGGTCAATAAAATGCAAATAAAATCTTTCTGGCTTTCTCTGTTTTCAGCCACATCATCTAAAGCCAGCAATGATACCCCTCCTTTCTGAATCCAGCTTCAATTTCTTGCATACTTCTGCCATTGTTTGGAGTAGGGGGAGACAAGGGCAGGATCCTGCCACACAGTACCCTGCTAAGTGTGAAATCAGGTTGCATCCATGCAGCTGGAAGGGAAGAAATTCCCCCATTAACCCAAAAGAAAGTTGACCAGTTCATGCCTCACCGAAAATTTAATAAGATGGCCTCCCTGAAAATAGTACTTGAACATGGTCCTTGATTCTTACATTCTCTCTTGCTCTTGCCTAATTTTCACAAGGACAAGCGATGTGAATCTGGAATCATTTTGCCCTCTACCCTATATGCTTGTTTGGATTAGCAAATTCTATCAGTGTAGCCAAGCTTTCTAAACATTTTTTTAATTTAAAAATTAGGTTTATACATGCCAGGCAAGGAGAGGAAGCCACAAGGAGAAAAAAGAAAGAAAAGAGAGTGCAGCCTTTTTCTCCTCTGTGAAGCCTTCCTGGTCTATCAGTGAACATGACCTCCACCAACATAGCAATTGTGTGACTACTGTGTGTCAGTCACATGCTAGGTCCCCAAGGAGACACTGTTCCTGTTGCTGAAAGGCACATTCTCCCGGGAGAGAAAGATATTTTAAGGAGCAAGAACCCCGAATTGTGCCTGGTGCAGAGACAGAAGTGGGTACACGGCACAGGCAGGGATTCCAAAGGAAAATCTGTCAACACATGGGGCAGGAACGAAGACCATAAAGAAGTGATTTTTTTTTTCAGGTCTGTCTAAATAAGATAGGCTGG